CAGTAATTCACGTAAGCAAATAGCGTTTCTATACAGTGCATATGGTTACACGTTGTCACTACTAGACGCTTAAACCGACTGCGAAGTGGCTGTAAATGTGATGAAATTATAAGTAAAAAAATAGAAAAAAGGATTTGCTCTCTTGTACACCTGAGATTCATTCTCATTAAGCGCGAATGCTCAATTTCATTCATTTGTTATTTACATCGTAATATTTCACCTTGCTTTCAGTACTGTAATAGTCACCGTGTGAATATTTCAATAGATGTAAAGGTTGTGTCTATCATGTGGTAATCATGAATGTGTATATGTATACATACATATGTGTGTGTGTGTGTGTGTGTGTGTGTGTATGTGTGTGTGTTTGTGTGTGTGTGCGAGTGTGCGTGCGTGCTTGTGTATAAATGTAACTTTACATTTCAATAGTCTATAAAAGCTATGGCAAGCAAGATGCTAGCTAGTACATGAGAAGAAAAGAAGCTAATTCACATTCATCTAAAGAGGATATGTTTTTCAAGAAATGGCGCGAAATGCGGATGTCATTTCGTCGCTGCGCCTTTGTCTTATCCCTCGATCTTCTAATGAGACGCGCCTTATCTTCCACGCGCTTCCCGTGTCTGTTTCGTCCTCCCGTGTCCTCCGCCGCCGGGACTCTGGCTGCGTCGCTACACGAACTGCCGTCACCGCGTCTGCTCATTCCTGGCACGTGGCTTTAGGGCGCCGTGGAAGCCAAGACCACGCCCACGTCGCTGATCGTCACGTCGTTGTTGCGCAGGTGCGTGACGGCGGCGTGGAGGACCTCCATGCCCTGCACGACCTCTCCGAAGGCGCAGGCGAACCGCCTTCCGGGCTGGTCCTTCATGCAGATGTGGAAGAAGGCGTCGAACTCCGGCTTGCCCGCGTTGGCGCCCACCACGAGGCCGCGCTTCTTCTCCTTGATGTGCTCGCCGCCCCACTCCAGGTGTCCCGCGAGCGCCTGGACGCTGGTCAGGCCTTCGGGAGTCAGGTATTTGCCTCCGGCCAGCGTCTCTCCCGGCGCCCCTCTCTTGGCCACGCCGTGGAACTTGCTCCTGCGATAGGAAGGCCCCAGGGAGCCCAGGCAGAGAGCGAGGAAGTGCTGGGCGCGGCGGATTCGACCCCACAGGCGGATGTAGACACGGCCGAGACACCGCCCCTCGGTCTCCAACACGAGGAAAACCTCTTGGTAGTCCTCTGGCACCAAGTATTGCAGGACGGACATCTGCGGGAAGGAAAAATGGTGTTAATGGAGGCATTTTGAGAGGTTTGTGAACAGTTTGGGACATCTGATCCTTTCCACAGGCAGCATCAGCCCTGCAAGGAAAAAATCGACTTTTCAACTCACGGCATACCTGTAAAGCACACTTCGTACCTGTACCATGAAGTGTGGTTCTTCTATATCTTCTCCGAGAGCGTACATGTGAAGGCGGCCGCCCTCCCATCTCAGCTTTCCTCTCCTCCCGCCCGGACCCACCACGCAGCACTTCAGCGGCCAAGGGACTGGGCCGAGGAGGTTCATCACACCAGAGTCCCTCGGGGTGTGGCCAATCTCGCGGCCCGTGCTGCTCGTGGAGCTGATCTGTCTTGCTACGAGAGGCCCGTTCCCCAGGCTATCCTGCCGCGCCAGGGGGGAATCGGACGAGCTGTCCGTCTTGTCCTCAGGCAGAACGGCGTCCGAGGTTGGAGTTGCAGGACTAAGAGTGTTCTCTTCGGGGGCGGTAGTCTGCTCGGTCTCTTCGAACTCAGTCTCTTGATATTCCACGTCCGGGGAAGATTCCTGACGCAGGAGGCCGAGGGGAGAGGCAGAATCCACCTCGCTGCAGGAGCTGCATCTCAAAGAGCGGTCGCTCGCAGTCCTTGTCCTTGTGTCTCTCTGCGCCGCTCTCATGACTTCCTCTCGAAGACTTCCGAGCATCGAAGACGACACCAAAATAGATTCGATGTTGGTTGCGTGGACGACATCAGTCATAATGTTCTGGGCATTCTGGGTGGAGTTCCACAGCACAGCGCTCTCTTCGACCCCCGCGATGATCTGCGCCGTCCACTCGCTGAACCTGTTCACGCAGTGGCCCTTCCTGTTGCTTATCTCCTGGATGAGCACCGTGCACTCGCTTAGAATCTGCTCCTTGCGCTCTGCAATGAAGTCCGTTCCGCGCACGACCTTGTGGCCGTCCTTGACGTGCTCCTCGAGGAGGCAGTGGCCGCACAGGGGGAGCTGGCAACTGCGGCACCAGAACTCTACCGGCGACCCATGTCTCTGGCACCCGTGGCCCTGTGGCAAGAGGAGAGAAGAGAAAAGAAAATTTATATGATAAATACATAAATAGATAAAAAAAATCAGTAAATATTGAAAGAACGTAAAAAAGGGGCACAATATCAATGTGGACTACATTTGTGGCAGCACCTGACACCACAAGCATCCTTTCAAGACGTCCTTTCAAAAACATCTGCTGATAAGCAGTACAGTCATTGTTTCTTGGCACAAAGCATAGCATGATTAGGGTGCTTGTTTAATCCTCTGAAGCTATGAGCAGTCTAATGGTCGTATTCAAGAAATCCAAAGGAGGTTATTCAGAGGTCAGAAAAAAATCGTAGCAAGTAATTCAAAGGGGACAATCAATATAAAGTTGTAGATTTGGCATTAAAGCACGTCTGAAATCAACAAAAACTGCAACAAGCCACCCACCATCAAATATATTTGTATCATATTCATAATAATATCTGCACAACCATATTCACATCAAACTCAATATCCTGCACCGTTATTTGGCACCACTTTAAATAGTGGACAAGGGAATAGATCAAAGGAGACAATGAACGCTCATAAAAACAAGCAAAATGAAAGTGCTTCCAAACTCTCTGATCTCTCGACGCTCCTTTGCTCACGACTACCTGAGTTCGGGCCGCGAGAGACAGCATCAGCGCCAACACAAACCTCGGACTTCTTGAAGTGTTCGGACAGACTCAGCAGAGCGAAGACGGTGGGCAGCTGGTCAATGGGCGGTCCGACGTAGGTCTGCCTGCAGGTGGGGCAGCTGAGGCGCCCTGTGTTCTCCAGGTTGCACAGACACGGCCTGCAGAAGGTGTGGCCGCAGAGGGGCAGGACGACTGGCTCTCGCGACCCTCTGGTGTACAGCTCCGAGCACACGATGCACGTCACCTCCTCCTCCATCCTGGCTGCGGCGTGAACGGGCGGGATGAGTTTTCATTCGACTTCTATTATGGAGAAAAAGCAGAGGCTGAGTCTCTCCTAACCTAACGCAGCGGAGCACCTCGGTTACTGTCCGTTGCAGCGGATACTGTCGTCCTAACTAACATCTGCCTCTTATAATCTTCCTGACTTTTACTGATAATGGATTTCCTGTCTCTGTACGAGCTCCGTCTTCTAGCGTACCATTTTAATGTTTGGTTATTTTTTGTCTTACAATTAGCAAATGAGAATAAATAAATGTTTTGAAACACAGGAGGACGAGAACACGGAAGAAAACGTGAGTACTGTATCTTAAACTGTGAAAGCAAATAAGACGTGATCAATACACTTCACTCCTTTCCCCAGTGGAACCGCCTCTTAATGCGAAACCTATTAGTTTTTCAAAGAAACACCGAAATCTGTACTCTCGAATTTTACGTACCTGACACAAGCACTGACTTGGTGTTATTGGCCATGCTTTGATGAACAGCGTGCACTTAAAACCACGTTAAAACAGACAAGCGATATCCATTTCAGGGGTCAATGAACCGTTGAACAAGCACGCAAAACCTTGTGCTCGGGAAGTTCTGTTTTCCGCCATTCATAAGATTCACGTTATTCATCGCTCACTCATCCCAGCCAGTGTCCAGGCGACGGGGCTCCTCTCTGGGGCGCACAGGAGGCACTGGCGTCTGAGCTCGGTGCCAGCGCAGGATGTGGACGTCAGGTGCTTTCGAAGAAGTGGTGACGTCACTCGCTGTCCCTTCTTATCACTTTTCCAGATGGGTTGTTAAGCTGGCTCATTGAATTATTTACCATATACTAATGTTGTTGCAATTTTTATGATAGTTTGATAAAGGAAAGCAGGTCTCTTAAACGATCAACGTAAGAGCTATTACTAGGCATTCGGTCAACACCCGGAAAAGATTGTACTTTTTTGTTAAAAAGGAAATGCCTCGATTACTTTCGTGACGTTATCGCGCAAAAGATATTATACAAAAACAATAACATAATAATGAAGATTAATATACAAAGCGTAATAACAATATTAAATGTTAATATACGACGCCACAGTGAATCATATATATGTATACAAACAGCCTTTACTTTCGAGCGGACGATGAGAACAAAGGAATGCCATATGTCTGTTTCGACATGACTGTAAAGTGAGGCCGGACGTTGGCCATCAAGCCGACCTCTTATCAAAGGTCAGTCCACTTGGGTTACTTTGGGGGAGATCAGAATGGTGACGAAGCTTGCTACGAAGGACTGAACTTCCTTTAGATCAACATTTTGCGAATGGCTGATTTTGTGTCTCCCGTATCATTTCATTCTTCTGATTTCCTTTCCTTTTTGCATGGGTCTGCTCTTCCTCAGTCCTCTCTCGTGCGCAAGCATTAAAGCTCATGTGCGTGTATTCCGCTCCATCTTCTCCAGTCGGAGGCGTGTGTGGCTGAGCAGGAAGGCGGAGTCACACGTGTTCGCAGCGCTGCTGGCTCGTGAGGACGACCCCGACCTCGCTGATGAAGACCTCCGTCACGGGCTCGTGTCTGGCGGCCTCCCTCACCACCTCCATGCCCTCCGCGCCTCCCGCCACCTCTCCGAAGGGGCACGAGAACTTCTTGGCCGGGTGGTCTCGCGTGCAGATGTCGAAGCAGCCGTCGTACTCCAGCTTCCCCCCGCTGGCCGCCACCACCAGCCCGGCCCTCTTCGGCAGGCAGTGGTCCCCGCCCCACTCGAGGCCCTCCATCAGGCCCATGGCGCTCATCGTGCCCTCCGCGCTCAGGTAGTG